AGATAGCCCATTGTGTAACTTTGTGCTTAATTACAAACAAACATGTCACATTTAGTTTCCCAGGTTTTTATTTATTTTAGAATAATCTTTTATGGAAATTAAGATTTCTTACTTTGACTTTTAATATTTCAATATCGTGGTAAATTTAATTCTAAAGATTAAATGTTTACAATTTGTTACTTATGTTACAAATTTAGTTAGTGATGGAGGTCGAGCGACTCGAAGTACAATTGCCATTACAAAATAAACGATAGTTATTCTCCCAGTGGCTCAGCGATAAGTCTGCAGGCTTATAACGCTAAACATTTATTAATACAGTTTTGTAAAGGGTGTAATCAAATTATGATTTTGACTATAGAAGACTATATATGTAATAAATTAACGTACGACAGATAAAGTCCACATTAAGTCTTTTTGGGCTATAATCACAACAAGAAACCCCAACTAGTCGAGTGAAACTCAATGGTGCTTTAAAATTAATGCACGTTTCCTGTTTTTGTTCTCAGTTCTTACTTTACAGAGAAAATAAGCGATTTATACTTGAATATCATACTGAAATCCCTAGTCAGTGCTTTTCGAACCCTTTATATTTTGTAAGACCGGGAATAGCCTAGCACTTAACGTAACGAACTGTGTTCGGACGGTCTAAGGTTCGAGTCGTGATGTCACTGAACGCGCTATCAGCTGTGAGGTGTTAAATTTATAGTTAATTTCACTATTCAGTTAAAACTCAGTTAAAGTGAACAATCCTGTAATCACCAGGTAGCCACGAAAGTATCCACACTATATCTTTTGATGTGGTACGTTTATCTTCACGAAATGCGGCAAGCTTTTAGTAAACATTACAAGTCTTTTGTACACACACACACAAAACAATAACAAAATGTTAAGTACTTTTACTAAATGTTTGTGCGTGAATATATGGAGTTGGAGCTGACTAGTCCGAGAGCAAGATGGTTTGCATATTAGGATTAAAAATACTTTTAATCATCATAATTTCCTAAATGAAGATCCAACATTTTTTCATCAGCAAAAACTTTAGATTTTATCTGTTATTTTCTATACCCTAACTGTTTAGTGTCGGTCAAGTAGACCGAACTTGTAACCATGATAAAAAAAAAGTAAGAAATAAATATAAATTTCTTTTTTATACATATCGAAATAACTGCAGATTGTAGAATAATACTACAACAGTTTAGCCTAAATAGCTTAAAATTTGAAACAGTCCTCATCTGTTTCTACTTAATTTTATTATTTTTCTTTTGCCCTTTGAATGGTGTCTAACTAACAACCCCGCGAAGCAAACTGTAAATCATTCTGCAAACGTATAGATCAAAATATGTCATTGAGTGACGTAACGCACGAGCTGTTCTAGAGCATACTCCATGGAGAATTTTATTATTATTATTATAATAAGTTTCTAATTTTTACATTTCTGTTATTTTTATAACAATAAATAAACAAGAAATTTAATACTCCTCTTTTGTTTCTTCTTGTTATTGTTATTTTGCTGTCGGCCCGCCGATAAAACTTAAGCCTACATTTTTTGTAATAATGGTACAGGTGTATTAAACGATTTTTGTTTATTTCTAATATACATTTAAGAACGTGAGATAATAACACACGAAAAACAAACAATGTGTTATCACTATTATAATCAAACTGGCTTTCTAATTAAGGCATAAGTGCCTTAAAATAGTTCCTTTAGCTGCTTAGTCTAAACTCAACAACAGAAACTTTCAATCTGTAACCAAAATAAGTAAAACTCTCTACTATGGACAAGGTACATTTTACATATTCGACAAATTAAAACATTGTCTTTCTATTGGTTATAAATGATGTAATAGCAAATACAAGAGAGAATTATAGGTAATTTGTAAGAGGATGTGATCTATACTATTATGAGTAATTTACGTTAAACTCGGGACATCAGAGAGGGGGGGAGGGAATCAAAAATAGAGGATGGGCAAGTGGGAACAAACAAATATCACTATTCCCATATAAGGGGGAGATTGAGAATTGATTTACATATTTCCTTTTACAATTATGAAATTTAAATTTACATAATATCAACATTTGGTTTCTTAACTACGTTTTGAAGCTAAGTTTATTTATGTACATTGATAATAAAGTAGTTTAATGAAATTACGAATGTAACTCTCTAAAAGATCGTGACATGGGCACTTTGACCTAGCTGCAGTGAGAGGGTCAAGAGTAATAGACCGGTGGTTAGGGTATTCGAATTGCAATATGCAAATGGTGAATTCGAATCCAGCCACTGAACATGTTCACCCTTTCAGCCGTGGGTTGCGTTATAATGTGATAGTCAATCACACTATTCATCGGTAAAGATCGGCCCAAGAGTTTGCGGTGGGTGTTGTGTACTAGCTACCTTCCCTTAAGCTTATCACTTCTAAATTAGGGACGGCTAGTACAGATAGAAAAAACAAACAAACAGATAATAGTAGCCGTATAGGCGGTGGATGGTACAGAATGGTTGGTTGTCTTACCCCTGGTTAGCAGCAGTAAATTATGTATGGTTATGCCTGAATCTTGGAGTCTCAAAACTGGTTGTTAAGGTGGCGTTAAGGTTGAAAATAACAAGCACCTTACTACACCATAATAAACAGTAGAATACTGATAATAAATCATATAGAATATTTTAAAGAAACATAGTATCAATATATGCGTACATAGGCGAGATTACGGGACCAGTTGCCCTCCCCCCCACTTTTTTTTACTGTAGAATACACAATAATTAAGTCATACTTTTTTGTCCACTCCCCCGACCACGTATTCAGGTGTTACCACTAATTCGGTGAAAAGCAACAGATATGGCTGACTTCTATAAAGGCTAGCACTTCCGCCATCTCCTATTTGCTGCACTGCAGCACCCGCTGTAACGTAACTTGTTGCAGTAGTCAGGTAGATCGTCGGTGAACTGGAGTTTACATTTAATAATTCAGCATCACTCTGCTAACACTAATATACGCGCGCGCGGAGACTGTGGGACAACTAACGCGCAATTATTCGGGCGCTACAAAAGATTAAGGCGGTGTTTGACAGTCGTTGTGAAGGGTGGATGATGCTATCGTCAGCCAAGTGTTCGGTCTCTCTTTCGGTCCAATAAACCTAGAGCAATTATTTGGAGAATAAAGAAAAAAGTAACTCGTTTTTAGCAAATTTCCAATATGGGTTTAAAAGCATCTCTTAAAGTGTGTAATTCTTTTTTTTTAAAAGAGTTACGGCCTTTTCTAAACAACTTTATTTTTCGCTTATTACATCCAACTGTCGCACAAGAAAATTCTACTACAAGCACGACTTTATCTCAACCTTTTGAAGTGAGGTACCCGTTCCGTTACCACAAACCACCGACAGAGGCTTCCGGCTCCATGAGCTACGACTCGAGCAACCCGTACGACAGCATACCTTCACCGAAAGGCTTTCCTTTGTTCGGTACAATCTTCAGTATCTTCTTTAGAGGGGGTGCTCCAAAAATCCATGAATATTGTGACCGGCGACATAACGAATTGGGTCGTGTCTATCGCGAGAAGCTGGGGGTTGTTGAAGCTGTTTTTGTGGCCGACAGTGAACTTATTCAACAGATTTATCAGAACGAGGGCCGCTACCCCATGCACATGGTCCCGGAACCTTGGATAATTTACAATGAGATCAACGGTATTCAAAGGGGACTTTTTTTTATGTAAGTTGGCAATGTAAAAATATTTGAAAAAAAAAAACTAAAAAAATACGCGAAAATTTGAGTCTGTGATGTGTACTGTATTTTCTTGCCAAACTGTAATATGTATCGGAACTGGTGTTATTTTTATATTTTACTTATCAGTTTGAAAGACAGCCTCATACATTAGTTCCCTGACTTGTTCTTTTCGCTTAGAACGGTGATTCTGAACGTGGGGCGCACGCCTCACAGGGGGGCAATTTGAAAATGCTACAATAAGGATTTTTAATTTGGGTGTGAAATCTTGGTAAATTTTACATTATACTATTATACCTTTTCAACACCAAATTTGTTTTATATTAAGGGAGCATCAAATGTTTTCAGGTGTCGAGTTGGGGCATGGAGTAAAAAAAGCAAAAGAACCACTGGCTTAGAAGCATATTAGAATACATGAACTGAGCTGTGTGTATGTCTGTCTGTACTCCTTTAATCTGAAAACTCCCGCCAAAAGTTGAGTTTTGATACTCGCGGTGGGCACAACATACTCTAATATAATCATATACCAAAATAAATATTTTATTTTTCTGTAAACTTTGCCATTTTATTGTAAATGAAGAAACTTTAAAGCAGTATTATAATTGTATGAGAAAAAGCTAATTTTTTTTATGTGATATACTTGTAGTGTATATATGGATGTGCATAAAAATATCGATGTGTGAATGTTTTAAACGTCTGTTGCATCATATTGTAAATAGTATAAATATAAAAAAAAATATTTGTTTATAAAAAAAAAAAACTGTGCTAAAGTGATGTTTGTATCTAAATGTTATTCTATACTTAAACCTGATGATTGTATATTGTTTTTGTTTTTTTTTAGGGTTTATTCACATTTAGTTTATTGCGGTGTTAAAACGGCACAGCATTGTTAGCCCATTGTGTAGCTTTGGGCTTAACAACAAACATACTTCCGGTTTATACATTTTCTTCTTAAAAGTAAACATTGATTCGTATTCAATAAATTACACAGGCCTGCGGTGGTTTTATTGTCTTGAAATGTTTACATGTGTTCTGCGGTAATTCCTGTACCCTGAATCCGAAAATAATATCCATTTTTCTCTATCACGTACAAAACATCATGTGTACTTTTACACAAGTGAATCATTTTTATTGAAATCTGGTCACCTTTTGTTATGCTTAAAATGTTGACAACCGCTGGCTATAGATTTCTCTAGACCAATCGCGACGTGAGTCTTATCGATCGTTCTCAGGTTCGCAACAAAAAAAAACAAAAAACGCACCGCTAGTATATAAACAGTTAACAGGCCGCATGACGTGTCATTTCTGGATAGTATTTGTTTGTGCGTGCACTTTTACATTATTTTTTTTCTTTTAAATATTATTTATTCGTCGCTATGGCAACAAGAGGTTGCGTAACTGACCCAGACATATTTTGTTATATTTGTGGTAAATTTGATCTAAGTTAAA